CTCGCTTCCGTTTTTGCGCGCGCGTTTCAACCGGCATTCTCGTATCTGAAAGTAAGAAACGTCATTGGAATTAAGATTTGTATGATTTACTGAAGTCACTTTTGTCACCAAAACCACTTTTTTAGGTTAATCCAGAGCAGTAATCATTTTTTATTGCAAAAATCATATCAAGCAATCTAATAAATTGTTTCTGTTACTGAAAATGACTCCAATAAACCATAAACGAAAAACGTATAAAAAACAAATTAGAAGCGATCAAACGTAGATAAAGCTAAATTTATCCAAAAAATCCTTCACGGCTTCAACTTTCCAGTTTAACAATCAAAGCTATCCTTAAAAGCTTACAATTATCTAGATTTGCCTTTTTGTTAAAAGGAATTGGTCAAGTTGAGTCTATAAGCACGTGTGGATGAATTCAAAACAGTGGAGTGGAAGGAGCCAGAAAGAAAACGGAATAAAAACGTATTAGAATTTTAAACAACAAACTATGGGCAAGCAATATAAAAGGGAGGGAACGAACGAGGGGAGGGAGAGTACTTTAAAGATGCGCTACAAAAACGTGATAGATTTCACGAGGGGGAAAAAAGCCTAGCGGGACAGGGCATAAAAACCGGACAAATTTTTCGACCCGATCATGGAAGGAAGCCAAATGAAAAGAGTGGAGAAGGGAAATTTTTGTGCGGGGTACGGTAGCGGATCCATTCTTTAGAAAACCCACTGCGCCGCTTTGGCGCCATTCGCTTGAAGCCGCACGCCATTAAGAATCTAACTTCAGAATACAAAGAAAGAAATTTGGAAATGGTCTGACGACAGTCAATTCGTATTAGACAGGGGCGCTGCAAACTACAATTACAGGCGATTACAGACGCTTGTAGAAGCGCGTAGAATGACCATTTTTAAAAACTGTTTTTACCAAAAAATTTCGAAAGCCAACTCTGGGCTTTCGAATGATACCAAGATCAGACCGATTCACCATCTCTGCTCCCAGAACGTGCTATTTATAGCAATTTGTAGTCTCATCCCATGGGATCAATCTGGAAAAAAGGTTATATTTCAGCGCAGAGATGATGGATTAGCCAAAACCAGAAAAGATTTAGCTCTTTTCCAACAATCATTACGAAAAAATCGTAAACGATGAGCTGAAGAAAAACAGTGTACATCCCTGTTATCAAAGAAAACATCTCAAGTTCAATTCCCAGCTAAGCCCGGATTTTTGCCGATTAAGGAAACTTTAGGGAAAGGGTTCGTAAAGCAAGAAGAGTCTCAACTTATCGTCAACATAACAATTTATGTTTGAATGAAAGATAAAAAAACTACAATTTTATGAGAATACGATAAAGTACAAGAATGGCGCACTTAAACAAAAGATACGAAATCAATTTCATTTATAGTGTTCTTAAAACGAGGAAAGGATGTCAAGATTTCGGACTTTAAAGGTAAATTATTTCACAATTTAGAAATACGTTTTGAGTAAAAATATAAAGCAGTGTTACACGAGGAGTTGGATGTTGATAATTTCAAAAAAAGCCCATTTCTGCCTCGCCGTGGAGCGACTTTTAATAAATTTGACAGACGCTGATCTTGCGAGTATATTAATTGATAGGCTAAAGATAAGTCTAGAAGAAGACGACGATGTTGCAAAGATTTGAGATCGAAGATTTTTAATCTATCAAAATAAGAGTATTTCGAGTACTTGCTATAGTCAAGTTTATTTAGAGCTATTTTGGTGAAAAACCGTTTCACTTTTTCCCACAGTGTGATCTCAAACTCTTTTTGAGGGGACCAAAAAGGAGAGGCGTATTCCAGATGAAGCCTGACATACCGTAAATACTGTAATAGTACCCCACCCCCCTCGTACAGTCGCTAGTCGCAAAAGTTTTTTAGTATTTCATTTTTTGCAAAGCACCCGTACTTTCAAAAAATGCGTCTTTCGTATCAAAAATAGCCCTGAATTTCAGCTATTTTTTGATACCTAAGCGCGCATTGTGGCATAAACCAGTGTCGAGAAAAACTCGTTCAAAGCTAGACTACGCAACACTTCGCACCGTCATTATGGGGGTGGGGTACTATTACAGTATTTACGGTAAATACAAAAAGCAATTCTATACGTTTTAACATTTGGAATAACGACTTTCAATAGCGACTTGTTGGGTAGAAAAAAAATCGAAATTTCCAAATGTTTCAAAGGAAATTTATTTGTTTTCCGTCGTTTGAATGATCCCACAGTGGAGACGCATTCTTTTCTTCTTTGGATTCTTTTTCCGCAATTGTTAAACTGTTGTACTATTAGAGCTGCAGTACTGTTAAAGGCTGCAGTACTATTAGAGTACGGTAATGTAGATATGTTAAATCTCAAAATTTTTGTACTTTTTTCAAAAAAGACACCAAATTGTAACAAAAGACACTCCAACTTTCAAATCAATGAGTAGCAGTAGGTTTCGGTCAGAATTTTCAAGTAAAAAAACTAAAAAAACTTCAAGCTGTCTTCTTATCACAAATTATTGAGTCATTCCCTCAAAAAAAGCGCTTCAGTCGTATTCTTTTTAAATTCGCCGCAGCACTTTTGTCGATTTCTCGTTTATTGAGTTGTTTTTTTGTAAAAGTAAACAGTTTTCTTTAAAATAAGGAAATAGAAACCTTATATTTTCAGAAAAATTTTAGCAATGCTTAACAGAGTAAATGATATTGTGAACGACGTTCTCGTAGATGACCTCGAATTCTTGCAAGTCGGCGGCTATGCGGCGGTTTTTCGGCTAAAAAATCGACAACCGTTTGAATTTTTGTTTTGCATTTTATTTTCAATTTTTAATTTTAGCCCAACAGTGCTCAAAATCATTCAAGAAAAGCACGAGAATGAAGAAAAACTTTTCCGAGAGGAAATCAATGCGCTTAAAAAGCTCATTCATGAGAATATCGTGAAATATTATGGAACAGCCATCGTACAACGATCGAATGGAGATCGAAACTTTGGGATTTTGATGGAATTTTGTGAGAAAGGATCGTTAAGAGATTGTAAGAGATTCAATACGTCTTTTGACTACTCTATTAAGTCAAAAACTAACTTTTAGCATCACAACTTAAACTACTTAAGTTTACTTAAGTCAATTAGCCTTAATTAAACCTATTTACTATATTAACTTGTATTACTTAAACATAAATGTTTATTTTAAACCATTTAAAAGTTTAGGGCTTTACAAAAAGACAATGATCTATTCGATTTACACGGTTATTTGGTGGTCAAGGCAATCGTTTAGTGCACTTAAATACTTAGAAGAACAAAGCACAGTTCATCGAGATTTGAAACCGGCAAAGTTAAAGTTTTTATGAAATTCTAGATTTATTCAGGATTTAGTATTCTTGTTTGCGGAGATTTTTCTTTAAAAATCTGCGATTTCGGCACGATGAAAGTAAACGAAGAAACATGTACATCACACTCAGTTGCAGGAACAAAACTCTATATGAGTCCAGAGCAACATACAAAATCAAAGAAACGTCAGGTAAGAAAGCAAAATTTGGCTATTATCTACTTATTTATCTACGTATTGAATATAAATTATATAAATTACAATATAATAACTTATATCATAACTTAAAAAGTTGTCTAGCGAAAGAAAGAACTTAAACTTCTGATAGATTAATTTATTGGGTTGGTGAATTGAAAACTGCGGGACTTTGAACTAAAATTTATTGAACATAAAACCATAAATTCATTCGAAATAATTTCCATTATTATTGACGACTTCTGCCCATTTTACAGGCAATTAGCGGATTCCTCTTTCGTAGTCGGATTTTGCTTTGTGTGTGAGACTCAAAAATGGAGGACTGGAGATGCCCCAGTTTGAGCACTTTCTTCAAAAGAAACCCATTTTGGTGTCAATAGAAAAGTTGTAGATAATCAAGAATTAGGCTTATAGCCAAATTTCCAAAAAGATACACTTAGTAGTTTCGCTTAAAATGCAAGTTTTGTGAAAATTCGTAAATTTGACATTTTTTGAAAACCAGTTTTTGAATCGTTCTGAAAATTTGGACTATATACCTTTTAACTCTCGTGTTGGCCGAAATAATATTGGGTTGGCGAATTGAAAACTACCGGACTTTGAACTAAAATTTATTGAACATAAAACCATAAATTCATTCCAAATAATTTCCATTATTATTGACGACTTCTGCCCATTTTATAGGCAATTTGCGGATTCCACTTTCGTGGTAGGATTTTGCTTTTGAATCGAAAAACTTTCAAAGCCAATTTTTGACTGCTTCTTCCGAATCGAAGTGTTCTCCCGCAAGCTCATTACTCATGCTCCGGAATAGATAGTAATCAGAAGGGGCAAGGTCCAAACTGTATGGGGGATTTGCCAAAAGTTCCCAACCAAGGCTATTTATTTTAGAGCGAGTCAGTTTTGCAACATGAGGGCGCGCGGTGACGACTTCTGCCCATTTTACAGGCAATTGGCGGATTTCTCTTTCTTAGTAGGATTTTGGTTTGTGTGTGAGACAAGTGTGAGACTCAAAAATGGAGGACTGGAGATGTCCGAGTTTGAGCACTTTCTTCAAAAGAAACCCATTTTGGTGTCAATAGAAAAGTTGTAGAGAATCAAAAATTAGGCTTATAACCAAATTTCCAAAAAGATACACTCAGTAGTTTCGCTTAAAATGCAGGTTTTGTGAAAATTCGTAAATTTGACATTTTTTGAAAACCAGTTTTTGAATCGTTCTGAAAATTTGGATATAAGCTTAACTTTTGATTCTCTACAACTTTCCCATTGACACCAAAATGGGTTTCTTTTGAAGAAAGTGCTCAAACTTTGAAATATGACAATAGCCCGCAGTTTTCAATTCACCAACCCAATACTTTGATTTAAATTTTGCTAGATTAAATTGCTATAGCTTAAATTAACATATTGAAGTGATAATTTGCTTAAAGATTCTCAAAAGAAAAACATAATATTGCAATTTTGGGAAAAAGAATTTAGCTCTCAACTCGAAGTGACGTTTATAGCATGGGACTCGTTTTGTGGGAAATGATAGAGCGAAGGTTGGTTTTTAAAACAAAAAGATACAAAATAAACCTTCAGACAAATATTTTCCAATTATCCGGGTGGATATGATTATGCAAATACAACGGAGAATGAACTGTGTAAAGTTGAACGATTTGAGTGCATTGAGGAGTTTGCATTGATCATCAAAAAGTTAGCTTGCTCTCAATCACAATTTGTTTTCAATTCAGGTGCACAAAGTTCAATCTTACGTTTCGCCCAAAAGCCTCAGAGGTTTTATTGGAGCTTGAAGTATTGGAAAAGGTAACAGCTTCAGTGTGTTTACTTAGGCGAAAATACGATTCATTGGAAAAAAAAAGTAAATTACCCCTAGTTATTCTTGTTTAATGATAAAGTAATGAATTCATTGTGTAAAAGAGTTACCGTATTTCTAACGTTTTTCATACATTTTGGAACAAAGTGAATGAAGGTAGAAAAAAAGATTTCACTATGCATCTCTTTTGTTTGAATTGGTTTTAGGGTCATGGGAAGCAGTTCTAATTAACTTCCTCATGAAAAAATTTGATTGAAAACCCCTAGTATCGTATTATTAGAAATGTCATACTATTAGGAATACCGTATTTTCTCTAATAGTATTGCACCCCGGTGAGCCGAGTTGGTGACTATTTTACGGTTTCCAAGCTTTTGCAGAAGCTCAACACCCTACTCCCCCACTAGATCTCATCGTCAGCTACATTTTCCGACCCCACATCGATAGGTTCTGATAAGGGGTTCTCGAGATTTCGGACAATTTATGGTGCACTACTATTAGAGAAAATACCGTGGGTTAAACGGTAAAAGCTCGGTAAGTTTCTATTTAATATTTAATTGGTTTAGAGTTATGGAAAGCTAGATTTCCGATTGACTCCAGAAATGGATTTGACTCAAACGAGGCTTTTGAAGCCAATCGGATTTAATGGATGTGTTGAAGCAAAGATTTCTGAAGAGGAATTCGCAGACGATAAACTCTCAGGGGTTTTCTCTGCTAGACTCTCCTCGATAAACGATTGGGTGATAGCTGGATCATCGGAGGGAAAAGGTTGCTTTTCTTGAATCTTCCAAAAAAAACTCGACATTTCAGACATCGAGAGCGTCAAAACAGCATCTTCTTCCAGTTTTCCATATATCCGAGGTGCTTATTTCACGAATTGGTCTCAATACAGGTAAAGTTGGTTTAGCGGCATAAAAAGTGTTTCTTTTTAGAGATGGACGGGCAAAATTTACACTCGATGACTATCTACCAGGTCTTTGCACTCACATATTTTACGCCTTTGCTGTATTTGGAAATGATTTCAAGTTGAAGTCGATTGATTTTTGTTTTTGTTTTTGAGAAAAATTTTTTTAGAGAAACCGAGCCCAACGATTTGAATTCGCCAGATGGATCTCTTGGACAATACACCCTAATGGCAAAATTGAAAGAAAAGCAAGCAGGACTCAAGGTTTTATTGTCAATTGGTGGAGCCAATTTTGGAACAAAACTATTTGAGGTGAGGTCGCTTAGTTTTTAAAGAATATATTAGATTGACCGTGAAGTCTTTGGACATTTAAAATTTTATTTAAACATGATACTTCATTTAAAAAGTTCCACCTATTAACTTACGGTTTACTCCATTAGAAATGCCTAATATTTTTCTATAAAAGAAATCTGTAAATGAAAAAATTCTATAAATGAAATCAAGAAATTTCTGGTTTTTTGTTTGGAGGTCCGCACTTCGGTCAAAAAGGCAAATATTCGATCACGATGTAGACACTTTCGTCAAAAGAAACCTATCTTGAGGTCAATAGAAAAAAGAATGAGCGATAAAAATCAGATTTATAACCAAATTTTTAGAACAATCTGTTTAGTCAATTCCTTTTTATCATCTTTTAATCAAATTTTACGAGTTTTTGCGCCCGGACCTTCTTGGAAACGGACCAGATTGGCGTAAAAAGATAGAAAATTTAATAATAAAGATCTTCTATTTCAAGCAAACCGTAGGTCAATTGATGAACGTTTCATTCATAAACAGATTTAAAACATTTAAACTTATAAGTTCATTTATAAACAAAAAAGTGTCTAAAGACTTATCGGCTAATCTAATACAATATTTGTCTATAGAGCTTTGAATTTGTGTTGAGTAAAATGTAATTGATGCTTAGGAGAAAATCGTATTATTCAAAGTTTTAGGAAATGAGTTCGACAAGAGAGAATCGAAAGATTTTCATTGATTCAGCCATTTCTTGGGTTCGTCGACATTTATTTGATGGAATTGACATCTCATGGCTGTACCCGAGAGAGCAAAATTGCTTTGCTGATTTGTTGATGGTTTCTGTAATTCACTTCCTTGACAAGCAATTTTTTTTAGGAGCTAAGGGAAGAAATCGACGTTGAAGCACAACAAAATGGAGCAAATGCCAAATTGATTCTATCAGCTGCTGTTTCTCCGATTCGACATCGAATGGCTGCTTATAATATTCACAACATGTCAAAGTATGGCTAAATATTGATGATTTTGAATTTGTATGCTTATTTCACCTAATAGTGTAAAATAGGAATCAGAATCGATCGAATCAGACAAAATTTTCTGTTATTTTCCCAGATATTCAGTTAATAGCTTACTCGAGAGGAAAACATTCTAATCTCTAGCATAAAGTATAGAACATAAACAAAGTATAGAAAATAAACACTAGCGTTAAGTTATAGTTATTATTATTCTTCTTAATGTTTCAGATGCCTCGACTTTGTCAATCTGTTGACTTTTCACTACTGGCATTCGGGTTGTATAGAAACGACCGGAATGAATTCACCGCTTTACGATCGACGGGGTCTTAATTCTGATCAAGCTGAATGGAATATCGTGAGACTTTTGAAAAAAAACTTCTAACACATTAACGAAAGAAAAGTAACACGAAAAAGATCCACTTTTCCTTTAGAATTGGGCAGCTCACGAATGGTATCGTCGGGGGTTTCCCAAAGAGAAAATCGTCATCGGTGTGCCGACATTTGGTCATGGATGGGAACTCTGGATAAGTGCCTTGATTTTGTATAATTTACTAGAGAAAGGCACGAACTGATAAGTGAGCTTCTGTTCTCGAGCAGGGCTTGAAATTTCGAATTTTTCGGCTGCGGCTACGGCTGCGAGCTGCAAGTTTTCAAAACCTTGGCTGAGGTTGTAGCTATAAATTGTTCCGCATAATATAAAACCTAAAGAAACATTATATAAAACGTAATTGTTCTTCTCCTTAACATAACATTATTTTAAACAATATAATCTGTACCTTTAGCAGCCACTGCAATTTCCTCTAGCGATCTTAACCCTGTAGTCACAACGTTTGCGTCGGCGCAAGCAAATTCCAAAGGATCGATTAACCAATTAACGTCTTCAATATCAATAAATTGACTCCAGATAGCCTGCAATGATTGTATCGGGTTATCATCATCGTTATTGTTTTTGATAAATGGGGGGGTTCATCTTGCATACATCTCTTGAATCCAGCCTTACGAAAATAATTTGAAAGCGTCTCCGCTTTAAATCCATCGATTTCATTCCAGGATTTATCGAGTACGTATAGTGCATCCAAAAGATCAAATTCGAATTTGGCTTTTGCATCGACACCTGCAATTCTCTGTTTCAACAATCCTGTTCAATATTTGGCTTTCAAATTTTTAATGATTCCCATATCCATTGGTAGGATTGCCGCAGTTGCACTCGGCATAAAGAATTGAAACTGAATGTTTGCTAAATTGAGCTTCAGATGGGTCGGACAGTTATCGATAAACAACAAAAAGAAACAGGCAAAAACTGACAAGTGAGCTTCTGTTCTCGGGAAGGTTTTGAAATTTCCAATTCTTTGGCTGCGTCTGCGGCTGCGGCTTCAAGTTAAAATGTTGACTGCAATTGCAATTGACTATAGAATTTTGAATTTTCATTGAATTTTCATTTATATGCTTAAACAACAAGTTGAAATAACAAATAAAATAGCGGAAAAAAACCTCCAACAGCAGCCGGCTGCAGCGATTTCAAATCTTGTTCTCGGGAAATAGCACACTCGAACCCTCTCGACTTTTTGCTTTCTCTTTTCGAAGAATTTTCTCCATCAAATTTTGGTATTTTCTATTGTTAGTATCAGCTAGTAAAATAAAAAGATTAGGTTTGATTACTTGTAAATTTGCTTTTCTTTAAGAGAATCGAAATTCAGGACCCTACAAAAACCCTTCCCGGTTCTTTTGACAATAAAGCGACTCCTCCGCAGCCGCACTCAAAAATTAATGGTTTTATCGCCTATCATGAGGTGAATTATATAAGAAAAAAGTTTTTAGTAATTGATACTCAAAAACCATTTTTACAACAACTGTGAAATCGCGAATTAAATTATTTTTCAAAGTTGGAAATTAGACTTAATAAAGTATAGATTTACAGCTCAGTTTCTTGCAGAACTGAAATTTCTGAAAACTTTTAGTCAACTTTTAGACTTTTAGATATATCTTTTCAGCTTTGTGATTTACTTGAAAAAGGCGGAGAAAAGAATTGGCATGATGAGCACAAAGTGCCGTGGTTTGTCGAAAATGGACGATGGTGGAGCTATGAGAGTCAGGAATCGATTAAAATCAAGGTAAATCAGTGGTGGCTACACTTTCTTTATAAGCTAAATTTTTATATTAACCAGAACAAAAAGGGGTTTAGATTTTTTTGCTGAAATTTCCCGGGGTTTAGATGGATTTCATCAAAACAAAGCAATTTGGCGGTGCGGTGGCTTGGTGTCTGGATTTTGATGATTTCAATGGTCAATCAAATTTTCATCAAGGAGAAAAGTTTCCATTGTTATCGACGATGAGTAGAGAACTTAGTGATTGATTAGAAATTAATAAAATGAGATATATTTATATTTTTGTGTATATTTAATGTAATTTCTTATCTTTGAAGCTCCAATTCGCTTCGCTCAATGTAAAATAAAAAGTAAAAGTCTGCTTTCAATTTTCTAAACAACTTTGGCTCTTTTCATGATTATAAACACATAATTTTACTTTTAAACACAAATTTTAACAAATCTGGTCATGTTTTGTTAAATTTTATTGATCAAGAAAGTCAAAGTCAAGAATAACAACAAAAATTTTAAAGAGAATTTTCTTTTTTGTTTCTTTTTTTCCATTGTTGATACTTGTCTTTGTCTAGCTTTCATGATTCGAAGTAGACGGTAAGTTTCAAAGTAGACAGCCCCCAAAATTTTACCCACCATCACACAAGCTTTGACGCCAGCTATTTCGCGTTTCCGAGTCATCCTGCAAAAACTGAAACCTGATTCTAGATCAGAATTTAAAACCCTATCAAATGGGCTAGGTCTTGTTTCGAAATTCCACGGTGGTCTAGCACCCTTCCCTAGTAAGTGTCGACAATAGTCAACACGAATGTTTAGGAAGGAACAAACGTGTTTCAAAAGGTCTACATTTCCGATGTGACACCAATAATAAGCGAAGGCCATACATTAGAAATCAACGCTGAGTTTGGACTCGAAAAATGCTTTCTCAAGACAAAACCATGTCAACAAAGCTCCTCCGAAGTATTCTTGATGAAAAGTGAGCGCATAATTTTACCGAATTTTACCGAATCTACTCTTTGCCCTGCCCGTGATACGTGATTTGAGAAATTCGTCAATGGTCACATATTTTCCCGTTGTTGGTGCTAAGCACTCAACGAATTGACGGTATGTAAGACACGAAATTTTAGGTAGTAAAAAAAGAAAGAAGCTGAAAATTGATACCGTAAATACTGTAATTGAAGCGCCCTTTCAAGCTTAATTTCAAGTCCACAAATTGAAAATTATTTTGCCCAAAAGTTCTTAAAAAGATGAATATAAGCTGTAGGCATACCGTTATAGCAACAACAGTAAAATTAAAATGCATCTGACGAAAAAACTTTATCTGTGGGCCACATGTATTCTTGAGAGTTGACCCTCCGAGGATCAAATCTGAATCTTATCAAATCAAATTTTGTTTCGTGCTTTAAACGCGGTTTTCGTACGTTTTAGTTCAAAAGGAATCGAACTAGAGTGGTTTTAAGAAAAAAATTTTCTCACTATGGAATTTTTTGGGGCTCTGAAAAATGAGATGGAAAAATAAAAGCGCCGGCGTTTCAATTACGATATTTACGGTAGAAAGATTTAATGAGATGTGCAAATGCATGTAATATTCAAGAAAGACCTATAATTAGGCAATCTAAAAGCCAAAAGCTAAACTAAAAGCTTCAAGCTAAGCAATCTAAATAAACCGAAATTCATGAAAAAATGCGTGAACTAACACGAAGAAAGCGCTCGTTTGCACATTTATCGCTTTTTCTTTTTAGGTTCTGATTACGAACCTGTAGCAACAATCCAATTGCCTCCCGGTATACAACATTATGTTTGTTGGTATCGAGATGGAAATGGGGGGATCAGAGCTGATAACGAAATCCACGAATTCCATGAGATTTCCCCAGCCGAGGCACTTAATGGAATCGTTCTGATTGCACTTTAACCTACATTGGTTTCTTTTTGTGGTGCCACTTTTAAATGTAAATTTTCATGCATGGAGTGTCAACTACAACGTGCAACTCACATTTACGATAGTTAATGCAACTCACATTGATTAAATTTTTGGTTGCACTAACAGTTTTCGTTTCTCAATTCGTATATCAATCTTATTTTCATGAATTTATGTTAGTCTAACAATTAAAACAACACTCAAAAGGCAATCTTTCAATCAATCAATCAAAAAGGCAAAAAGGCAGAAAATTTTGTTGCTTGTTTGCAAATAAATTTTCCTATTCTCTAAATTTTTTCCTTTACGTTAACTTTAGTTGCATTTGAGGTTTTTCAATAAAACCTTTTTGTCAACTCCAATGAGCATTATTTATTAGAAATTTAGAGAGAAAGGTTTGAAAAGATTTTTTACTTTAAGACAATCACGATGATGAAAAAGCGAAATTTTTATTTGTAATTTTACGATTACCGCTTTACGAACAATAAATCGTTTTATTTGTCCCATGAATGAATGGCTTTAATTTTTGAATTTTAACACTAGACTTTTATTTTTTTTGGTTTTGGCTTAGAAATTCCAGGTGCAAACTTGGAAACCGATGCATTTGTCTTTTTTAATGAGTGTCGTACCGCCACTTTTTCTGAATATCGAACTTTGATGTGTTTAATTAAAAGGAACAAGCAAAAAGGTCAAATTAATTGGAAAAAAGTTAAATAAAAACTTTTTAGGGGTGTATTTTGTACGGGTTGCGCAAGTCTTTCCTCGTCTTCTTTTCATTTCAAATATTTTCTAAAGCAAGTGCAAATTTGCTTGTTCTATATTGAATAGATTTCTTATTTTTGTCTGATCCTATTTCTGAATGACTGATGGAAATCGTTGACATAGCTTTCTATCCAAACTTCTACTCATGGTTTCGTCTCTTCGCCACCCCTTTCACTTGTCTCAACCTTTTCGGCTCATTTGTCATTTGGAAAGCCACTCCAAAACAATTTCAGAGTTTCCGACGGTCAATGTTACTGGTACAGGTTCGTTTTCTGTTCGATTAATTTAAAAAATCTTTCAAATACTTGAATTTTCTTACTACGGTGGACTCTCGATTTAACGCTGTTCGATTTTGGGTCCTGCAAAAGTGAACTGCCTTATAAAGGCGTTAGAGTTAACAAACACAAATCCCGGCTCCTTGCATGCCGTTAAATCGTGAGCCAACGGTTATTATTAGTTTGACCGGAAAGTCTTGCCCGCTTTTTTAAAATTTTCGTTTATAAATGAACAATTAGCCGATCAACGTGTGGTTTGCTTTAAATAAGAAAAGATTAACCATCTCATTTAGCTCATTTTTAGGCAAGTTTGAGTCCGCTTTTGAAGCAAATCCGGACGGGAATTTTGCTTTTCCTAAAACCCTTACAATGGACATAGAATGAAAAGGGCTTGGTGAGATACTATGAAAATTTGTCTATCTGCTTAACTTTTTATTCGCGATCTTTTCTCTTTCGACACCAAAATAGGTTTCAGTGACAAAAAGTGCTCAAATTGAAACTTTGAGTTTCATCGTTTTTGACTGCTCAACTTCACATCTTAAAAAACAACTAATACGAGCTTTTTAGAATTTCTTCAAGAACAATTTTTAAATAAATAATAGGACTTTCTGATAAAGCAAACTATAGATCGATTGGTTTATTATTGATTTCAAAAAGTAAGCTTTAAAAAAGCGGATAAGACTTTCCGGACAACCCGATAGATAGAGAGCGTATCTTTATTTTATGACAAAATTTGTTTCGCTAGATATCAAGTTTAAATCTTTTATTTTTCATTTATGAAGATTTCCAGTTCGTCGGTTTAATCAACGACATCAGTCTGACTTATGTTGGCTTTGTTATTTTTGCGGTGCCAACTTTTGGCGGTTTCTTTCTCGGCCCACTCAGTACTTTCGGAATTTCTACAGGAGCTCAATATGTAAGTAGAATGGTTTAACTGAATCTTTTATGTATTTTGAGCAAAACCCAAAACAAAAACAAGCTGTTTAGTGTGTGTTGCTCGTGATCTTGTCCTCTTTCGGGCACGCTCTCGTCCTCACACTTTTCGATCGTCAACAATCAATTGTCCCGAAAGGGCATTGGTCAAAGTTGTCCAAGAGGTTTATAAAATTGGCAAACTACCAAAATTTTTGTGAAAAGTTTAGAACTCAATTGGTACTTGAGGTTGCTTTTATCTTATGTCCTTTCTATTTGCTGGTACCCGGCACTTGCTTCTGTTTGTCGATCAATCGAAGCGAGCTTGCGATTCTCGAGTTTAATCAAGTCAGATCACTTCTCATAAAACTTTGGGAATTGCTAAAAACTCTAACTAGGAAAATACTTGAGCCTGAACGCAAACTTGACAAAAAGTTTTTCAGTCTTTTAGCTCTCTTTGCGTTTTTTAGAGTTTTGCTAGATCAGAACTAAGCTGGATTCAGATTCTAGCCTCAAAAACTACCGGACACAGTTTCCAGATAGATCGCCTTGTTCAAAACTCGCTTCACCATGAACGTGTTCAATCTTTAGACCTATCCAGAGTTTTTGCAATTCTACGAAAACCCGTATTTTCTCGGTTTTCAATCAACTCCACGATCGATTTTCACTTGGGGTGTCGTCATTCCATATGGCGTCTTTTTCACGGGCATTGTCGAGGGTCAGTACAGAGATTTAGAGATTTAGATTTTTACAGAGATTTAGATTTTTACAAACAGCCAAAAAGCCATCAAGTCAATTCATTCCATGTTTACTGGATATTAAAAACTTTAGCTTTGGTTGTTCTAATTGCGCTCACTTTCCGTCAGCTCCGACCTATGATGAGTGCAAGAACCCTGAAGTTACAATGGAAATTAGCTCGTGGGTTGATTATACAGGTAGATTAAGCTACTGAAATATATGCAAGAACCATTGTTTTCTAGTTTCTTGCATCGGCTGCAATGTTTCTCGTGCCGAGTTCCTGGTTTGCACTTGTCTACTTTTCGGGAACGGTGATGGGGACTCGTGGGTGAACTTTGCACAATTGAAACTTTTCCATTGATTTAAAATTTGAGTTCATAAGATTGCAAAAACTCTAGTTAAAGAAAATTTTAGGAAACTCTCCTATTAGTCAAAATGTAGTATAGAAAATCGAAAATTGAAAACAATTTATTCTTGGGACAAAGGAAAGGTCAACATTTAGCTTTCCTCACAAAATCTCTTTTAACTAAGTTTGAAGGAAAGTTTTTTGTGGAATGAAACACCATTTCAGGCTACAACATCTTCCCGACAATGTTCATCGGAATGCATTCTGTGGCTAGCACAATTGTTCTGCTCACATGCTATGAAAGCTATCGAAGATATGTGCTGAAGATATTTCTTCTCTTTGGCGCTTCAATCCAATCAAAAGAAACGTCAACGAATTTGTCGATAAAACAAGGGAAATTAAAGAAACCATCTCCTGATATGGCTTGGACAAAGAAATAAATTGAAAATTAAGTTGTAGGACTTTCTGATAAAACAAATCATAGATCGATTGGTTTATTATTTATTTAATAAACTAACAAACCAAGTTGTAAGCAAAGTTTTTTCGCTTTTTTTTACAAACCATTAGAATTGGAGTTTATTACTTTTGTATTAGCTTGATGCATAAGTCTTTTCATGCTTTTTCGTACTTCCGTGAAAAAATATCAAATTCACCAATTAATCTATAGTTTGCTCTAAATAAAAAGTGTTTATTGTTCAATTTCTTATTTTTTTAAGTCAATTTGCGTTCACTTTCAAGCAAATTCGAGAGTGAAAACGTGTTTTTAAGTAAAAAGCTATAAAAACCTCTACGAAGAAATTGGCTGAATGAATTTCTCTGAAAATCTGACTATGTATCTAACTTTTATCGATTGACATGAAGATAGGTTTCCTTTAGTTAAAATGCCTAAACCGCATCATCGAGTCGTCGCCATTTTTGCCCACCCGACTTCACGCTCCCAAAGGAATCCAGATATAAGGCATTCTAAACCCGTTTTAACGTTATTTTGCAGAAAAATAATTGACTTTTCTAGTGAAACAAATCGTAGTTCAACTGGTGCATTTGTTGGTTTTAAACGGAAGTACGAAAAGAAACGAAAAGATTAATG